GTCTTAGTGTTTAAAAACTAAAGCAAGAGTTAGCCTTCAAGTAAAGGGAAGTGGGAGCTCTGGAGTGGGAGCTAGTATCCTCCTAGCCTAGCCACGAATTTAGGGACTAAACTTGGGATTAGCCAATGATTTTCTATAACACTGTATTAGGATAGAGAATTAAAACTACTCATATTTGGCACAATACATATTTAAACCATTTATCTCATCTCATTTTACCAAATCCTCATTGTAGTGGGAAAGATGTTTTTTTCACATAAGAAATCTTCATCACATGAACATAGTTCAATAGTTTAATAGTTACTGTTTAAACTTTGTATTTCAATTTTTTTAGTAGTTAAATAATTTAGTTCTGATAATATCTCAACATTCAAAATTAGTGATAGTAATTTTATTTTGACTTTCTATGAATTTTCTAGTAAATTTATCATTTCAAATTTAAACCTACCCCGTGGGATCGATATTTGGGGCTTAAATAGAAAGCCCTTTATTACTTGATAACGATACATATACTTGGTTAGAATCCCAATATTATTGCTTAAATTTCTATATCATAAATTATTGCATCAAGCTTTTGGCACCGTTGCATAACAGAGTCAACTATATAATTTTTACATAACTATATAATTTCGGGATCAAGTTGTTGGCACCGTTGCATAGCTGAGTCAACTATATAATTTTTACACAACTACATAATTCTTAGTAAGACGGTTTTGAAACAAAATCACGAATTTCTTAATCTTAAATTTTAAATCCTAAATTTTTATTAAGATTTTTTGTATAAAAATTTATAATTTTAAAGTCCTAAAGAGCTTGAATTATAATTTTTGTAACATCCTAGACAAACTAGAAATAAATAATGAAAACAATCCAAGAATGCAAACATGCAAGAAAAGTAGGAAAATAAGACAAATATAATAAAAGGTCGATGTCTCTGGGTCGACAACATATCCTAGAAAAGAAAAAGGCAGCTGAACTCTACATATACATGTCTAGTCTTAATTATTTACATAAATGAAATTTAGAATTAAGGTACGCAACACAAGTAAACAACTTCTAGTCCCCATCACATGGTTTTGACCACCTAGTACCTCGAAACTCATCCCCATACCTATTTCTAATATAAACTCTTCCTAACACTATAAATTGTACATCAGGAAAAAAAAAGACTCAAATTGCATGAAAACAATGTCCGAGTGAAAGCTAAATAAGCATGCAACGTGTCTGAGCATGCCTGGTGGGTGAGCTAAGCAATGCCTGCAGGACAAGTTTAGTAGTAATCATTACATTGCTCTCCCTTTTTATTATACATTTGTGTGTGCATATATATGGCACGTCTGCCTGCAGAAGACCGCCCTAATATACTACCATGCATATCAAAATAGGCACACAAAAGTATCCTTTT